CCCTGCTCCTTGCAGGCTGTGTCCACAGGCAGGTGAAACCAGCCTGCTTATGCCCAGCAAAACGTTCCTTGCCTGTGTTTCCCCAGGGAACGGCTTGCTGATCTTGCATGGGCCAAAATGGCACCAACATCGAAAACTCCTGACTCCGGGGTTCCATTACGACGTCTTGAAACCGTACGTGGCCCTGATGGCAGAGTCTACTAACGTGATGCTGGTAGGACTCATATCTGATGCTTCTCTCTCTGCCCTGTTTCCTTTCCCTGATCCTGACTGGTTGGTAGGTAAATGCTGGAACAGGGTTTTCTTGCAGCGCCCTTACTTACAACCTGGTAATTGTAAGGGCAGGCCTTGTCCTGGTGGTCAAGCTTTCTGAGTCACCACAAATCCCTGCCCGTGAGTTGGAAGGAATGACCAGGAATGAGCCTCCCTGCAGGGACTATGTCTCCGGTACTGCTTTGGGCTCTGTGGCCAAGATTTGAGGTTTAATGTTACTGCCATCCCCAAACTGTGCATAATCTCAATCCCAGCTGCAACTTCTTATAAGTTTGGGGTTTTTTTTGTAAATGAAGAATTGACATAAATAAAGTTTCATAATAAATCCTGAAAATAAAAAGGTTGGAGCAGAACTATACTGTGATCCAAGGTTAAAGGGTATTATCATTTGCTGTCAACAAACCTATGAGTGGATTGCAATCCCTGCCTTGCCTAATACACAGTGAAACTGCATTGTTCTTCCATCCATTGGTGCTGGGCATGATGGAAACCAGTGTGAATTACAGGTGAGGGGCACCAGGTTTTGTGCACGTGGACCATCAGGAGTCTGGGTGCCGGATTTAATCCTTCTCCTTTGTCTCCCTCCATCCAACCTCCCCAGCGGCTCCACATGGATCCTGGCTGTCCTCCTTCCCACTGGCCCAAGGAGCAGCCAGGAGCTGGAGAGCCAGGAGAGCTTTTGCAATCCGCACAAGTGCCTGGCAGTTTATAATTCCTTGCAGACAATGCAAAGTGCCTATTTTGGGAGCCCATGCCACCAGGTGGCAATCGTTAGATGTGCTAAAGACATAAGTCTGTCCATACAAGCCCTGTTCCCCAGCCTGCTTTCATGATGTGGGAGTTCAGATGTGACTGTGCTCCTCCATCTCCTCCCTTTCTCAGCTTTTGAGTCCACTGGTTCCTTACAGCCACGAAGGGACAGAGGATTCAACATCATTTCATGTCTACCAGGCAAGAGAGACGCTATACTTTCTCTAGGGATCCCCTATGGAAAGAGTCAAGCAAGAGCTCCTATATTATATGCGGGAAAAACACAGTGGGAAATGAGAGATGGAGATCGTGAGATGGAAGCTTGCATCTGAGATGCCAAAGTCGTATGTGCTTGTGAGAGAGAGACAGAAAACACAGCCTCAATGAAGCCCAATGTTGACATATGCTGCTCTTGTGCAGGAAACACACTGCACCCTAAGAAAGGCTTTGGTAACGTGCCCCATCACCCAGCGATGCGCCCATCCTGGGGTTCTCCAGGGTGCCCTTGCCCCAGGGTAGGGTGTACCAGGGCTCACCACTGCCAGGATTTGAGAGTAGCAGCTGCCTGAGGCAAATCTTGTATTAACCATCCAACTCTGGGCTTCCATTCGCTGGGATTTTGATGGCAACTAAGAGATCCTCTTCTTTTTTCGATTTCTCTAGGCTGAGAACTAGCTGAGCACTCATTAATCAGAAGGTGAATGCAGATCGTGCAGAACTGTCCCTTGCCTTCTCATTTCTGTCTCCTTTGCGTCCTAGGATAAATGGGAACAGCTGATCACAGATGGGAAACCGGTGGAGCTCTTCGAGCACGTCAGCTTGATGACCCTCGATAGCATCATGAAATGTGCCTTCAGTTGTCACAGCAACTGCCAGACCAACAGGTCGGTGCTGCCTGCCCCAAACCCTGGCAGAAAGTTTGCAGCTCAGAAGGGAAACAGGCAAGTTGCTTGTCGTGATGCTCCCAAATTAACAAACTTCCGCCATTTCTCTCTCCCCAGGAAAAACACCTACATCCAGGCTGTCTACGACCTGTGCCTCATGGTGCACCAGCGCCTCCGCATCTTCCCCTACCACAACGACATCATTTACTGGCTCAGCCCCCACGGATATCGGTTCAGGAAGGTCTGCCAGCTCGCTCACGACCACACAGGTATTGCCCGCCTTCATCCTCTCCCAAAGCTTTCCAGCAGAGTGGGTGATGGCTGACCAGAGGCAGCCGAGTTCCCTCCTTGCCCACGCAGTGATCGTGCCCGGAGGCTCGGAGCCGGCATCCAAGCGGAGCATCAGTTTCTAGCAGTGGTCCGATCTAGCGTGTCACAGGTCATTAAACTGGACTAACAGAGGAATTCCCCTCTGGGAAAGCTCCTGTTAAATGACCCAGAGACTGGTGAGACAAGGGATGTGCGCCGCAGGCAACACCGGTGCGAGGAATCATTTTCCTTTCTAGGCCAGGCCTGATTTTAATGCAGGAGGGGTGGGTAAAATAGGCCGAGGAGTCTGTGGTGAACAAAGAAGTTGGCAGAAAAGGATGGCAACGTGCACGACAGTTGTTGCCGTGCTGCTGCAAAAGGCAAACTGCCTGGGCTGCAGAAGCAGACACGTCAAATGCATCGTGGACTGAGGGATGGTCACCCCCTTGGGTGCCTTAGCAGGGCAGTTTGGCAGCTCAGCTTTTCCTGCCCCTGCTGAAACTTTGACTCTTTCTTCCCCAGACAAGGTGATCCACGAGCGAAAGGAATCCCTTAAAGATGAACGCGAGTTTGAAAAGATCCAGAAGAAGAGACATTTGGACTTCTTGGACATTCTGCTGTGTGCCAGAGTGAGTGGCGAGGAGTGGGTGTGCGGCAGGGCAGCGAGGTCCAAAAGCCCGTCAGTCTTTGCGGGGGTGCCACAAACCGCCAGGGACCTTCAGGGCTGCACAAGCCATTAAGATAAACTTGCCCAGTCCTGCCCAGTTGAGATGGGCCCGAGGTGATCCCATTTTCCATCACTTGAAATGTCGGTAGCATCTGTTGACGAATACAACACACAGAGGGGTTTCATAGTCCTGGTGGTTTAATATCAGGGGGATACAGGGATTTATAAGTGAAGGAAAAAAGACCCTGAATTCAGTCTAAACAGAGATTGATTTTGTTTATACGTATCCCAGAGGCATCACCACCCCCCTTTGCAACAGTTGAAAGAATATAATGTCCCCTCCTGGGATATAATCACTTTTATATATGCGTCCAGACCGCTATAAGATATATATTTTTATACATATATATATATGTATATGGGCCGCTGAAAGTGTCTCTGGGCTGTTAGGATGAGAATGGAGCTGGACTGTCCGATGAGGACCTGCGTGCCGAGGTGGACACATTCATGTTTGAGGGCCACGATACAACGGCCAGTGGGATCTCCTGGCTCCTGTACTGCCTGGCGTCACACCCTGAGCATCAGGCACGGTGCCGGGAGGAGATCCAGGGCATCCTGGGAGACCGGGAGACACTTCAGTGGTAAGTTTGCACATTTCCTCAGCTGGTAACTTTTTTTCCCCTATTGCCAGTATTTCTGAGTGAGCAATGTCCTCAACACCTGAAAGCTAGAGTGCTCAAGGACTGATTTGTAAGGTTGCTGTGTGCACAGGGACTTCATAGGTTGGAGCGGATACTGCATCCTTCAGCTAAATCTGCTCTTCATGGCTCCTCCTGCCAGAACAGACATGAGAAAAAACCATCCCAGACCAGGAGGACATGCTGGATGCCATGCCAAGACCTGGGCCACCAACATACCCCTTTGCTCTCTCCTGTTTTCTCACCGCAGGACATTGTAGTCATGGCTTTTCACCTTTTGCTGTCACTTTGCACTTGAGCTTGTTCGGAGGTTGTTAAGGTTGTTCCGAGGTGTCTTGGGGTCACCAGCTTGCAGCAGCCCATGGATGGATGTTGTGGGTCCATCCGTATGCCCCAAGGGGGTTTGCCCAGGAGGCTGATGGCCGTGGGGCAAGGGACCTCTGGGCACAGGGCAGTCGGGGGAGCATGGGGCTCAGCCTACCTCTGCCTCTGTCCCGGCAGGGAGGACCTGGGCAAGATGACTTACAGCACCATGTGCATCAGGGAGAGCCTTCGCCTTTATCCACCAGTGCCTGGCGTGTCTCGGCAGCTCAGCAAACCCATCACCTTCCCTGACGGACGCACCTTGCCAGAAGGTCTGTAAATCCCATTCCCGCTTCACAAAACTGTGCTCTCGGACATCAGCGATGTCCTCGCTGCCTGCCAAAGAGCAACCTCTGTGACCTGCTGCTCACCAGCACCGATGTTCGGATAGGACTGTGCAGATGTTGGCATCTCGTTGATAGACGGGATGGGCTGTACAGCAGCATCCCTGGGACATCCTTCCTGCCACCATCGCTACAGGGCAGCTGTGCCTGTGCCAAAAGCGCCTTCTCTTCCTGGCCAAGCACAAGCTCATTTTTCACCCATTTTCATGAACTGCTGGTGCTGGGGGACAGGAACTGGTCCCATCCTACGTTGTGGTGTGGGAATTGCCCTGTGCTGCTCCATTTCTTCACTGATTTGGCACACAAGTGGGCAGTGCCAGAGTGGGGATGACATGCATATGGTGCTGGTGCCTTCCTCTTTCCCACCTTTGGCTGCTTACAACTAAACAAATGGAAAATGTTTAATTTTCTCTGAAGCCTATGACAAAACCCTCACAGGTTTCCAGTTGACAGATAAAGACCGTGATGATTTAGACAGACCTTTGTGTGAGTGGGCTGCAACCTCCCCTTTAGTTTCTTTGTCACTGAGCCTTTTTCTCCTTCTCCATTGCTTTACAGGCAGCATCGCTGCGATAAGTATTTATCTTATTCACAGAAACCCCGCGGTATGGAAAGATCCTTTGGTAAGTTTTTTTCTGCCCTTCTAGTAATTTTTCCCTTTTATGCTGTGCCTCTTTGGATGTCCCCTTCACCTGTTTGCAGTAGAGCAGAGTCCCCCTTTGGTCCTCAACGTCTTCGGCCACGGGAATCATGCTGAGAAGCGGTTGCTTTGCATTAGTCTCAGCCAGCTGCGGCACAGGGTGGTCAGACAGCAGCGTTAGAGCTTGGTGCTGCCCAAACTGTAAGACAAAGTGCTCCGAAGAGCTTGTTGTATTAACAGGCAAGAAGATATTTTTTTGCTCAGCCTACAGGTGGATAATTGAATCCCATCTTCCCGGTTTTCATCATATCTATGCCTGGTTTATCTTGGCCACACCATTGCCAGGCTCAGTGGAAAAGAAGGGAATTTGGTGTATGAGTTTCAGTCCATCTCGAAATGAATTCTCTCTCCAATGGGGTGGTTCAGAAATTATGGGGTGTCATGTTTCTGCAGACACCAGTCAGTACCGTGTTCCTTAAATAATCGCTTTTTCTTGCTGCGTATTCTTCATTTCCAGGTGTTTGACCCTTTACGGTTTTCCCCAGAGAACGTCTCTGGCAGACACTCTCATGCCTTTCTGCCTTTTTCTGCTGGAATGAGGTAAAGTGTACTGAATGCTGAAGGAGTAGTGGGGAGAGAAAACATGCATCCCTGGAAATTGCTTAGCCCAAGAAGCATCTGCTGCTGTTGTAATTGCTATCAGGGAGGCACTGACAGAGTGCTTTCAGAGACCGCCGCCTGCGGTTCTGGCTCTGCAGCTTTAAACAGCTCAGGATCGCATAAGAAGTGTGTGCCGCAGAGAGTTTCTGGTACCAACAAGGCCAAACGGGAAGGAAACGTCGTTGGGCCTCTTTTGGGGATGGGGAATGGGGTCCCAAAGCTGCTGAGCATCCTGCTGGCATCACACGGGGAGCCTGCAGCATCTTGGGCTCACCTGCTGTCCTCCTCTCCTTGATGGAGGGACCTCATACCACCCCCCCATCCTGTGATTCCCTATTCTCTTCTGCTCCCAGTCCTTCCCTTCACCCTGCGCTCACCCTGCCGAGGCAAACGCGTTGCAGACCCTCCTGCTTGGAGACCCGCCGCTTCTGCTCCGCTGGCCTCTCCGTTGGCTTCCCCGTCTCCCCTCCCTCTCCGTGCTCACTGAACACTTATACAGGAGCTCCCGATGCTCCCCCAGATTTCCCCCCGCACAGCCCATGCCCCTGCTTTTTCCCCCCAAAACATTGCCTGGCACCCCCAGAACTGCAGAGAGGAAGGGTTGTGTGTTGGTGTGAGAGGGCTGGGATCCGGCCGCGGGGATTTGCTGTGCCCAGCACCGAGGTAAGTGGGCGCTGAGCTGTTCTGTTTCACCCCAGGAACTGCATCGGGCAGCAGTTTGCCATGAACGAGATGAAGGTGGCGCTGGCCCTGACCCTGCTCCGCTTCGAGCTCTGGCCCGACCCCGCCAAGCCTCCCTGCAAAATACCTCAGATCATCCTTCGCTCCAAGAACGGGATTCACCTGTATCTAAAGAAAATCAGCTGATGCTCGAAAACTCCTGCCTTTGCCGGAGGGAGGGACCAAGCAGATGACCAAGCAATGTTTCTCGGGGGCAAAAGGTGCCGGGCAGGATTTGGGGATGAGGATTCCTGTTTTCTGTGCTTCTTCCACCAGCTGAAAGCCCTTTTTGGCCTGGGCCCAGGTAGCCTGGATGGCATTGCGCAGACCCATTGCCATCTGCTCCACAAGTGCCAATCTCGGAGCAGCTGGGCACGGCCATGCCTCTGTGCTGGCTGTCCCCTTGCCCTGCTGTAACTGCTGGCCTGGCCTGGGAACATCTGCAGGTCCCACCAGCTTCCTCCTCACCAAATCCTGCCTTCACACTCATGTCCTGGCCGAATCCGTGACCGTTCCCAGCTCTGCTCCGTCGTCAGCACCTTCCTCAGTGCCTGGAGGTCAGCCCTCCTCTCCTGCAGCAGGGACAGCCCGTGGCAGACCTCTGTCTCTCTTCTCGCACTTAATGTGTCTCAGTTTTGTTGAAAGCACTGATTCTAGTTTGGGCTCTGAAACTCTGCCTAAACTGCAAAATAGTCTGTAATTTTTGTGTTAATAAACCAATAATTATTCCTGTAACAGCAGCTGCATTGGTTTTTATTGCTGATGCTTGCCCACTTTGTCACAAATATGGTGTAAAACCCCTTTAGAAATGGGAGATGGAGAGGAAACCCATCAGCAGCAATAGACAACAACTCTGGGGGTGTCCAGCCGGGCCCCTGCCTGCAGGTCTGCAAGCCGCAGCCAAAACAGCATCTCCTTCCATGGGCAACCCCTTAACCTGGGTCCAGTGTGCAATCTTCATTTAGAGCTGGGAGGGAGAAGTTCTGACAGTTGGAAAGGGAATTTTTTTTCTCTTCTTTTTTTTTTTTTTTTTCTTTTCCTAAGGTGATAAAGTTACGAGAGTTGTATGTGTGAGGTACACTGGAGGACACTAGCGAGCTGCAGTCTGCCTCTGCAGGAACCATTATTGGGGTTAGAAAGTGTCAAACTGGGAAATCCCACGTGCCGCTGCTGCAATTAGCGTCGCAGTGATGTCGATTGCGGTTCCAGCATCGTGAGCAGGCTGCTGCAGGGTTATACAGCGGCTGACTTCATACAGCTCACATCTGCAGAGATAAGGCAGATAGAAAGCAGCAGGGGAAATAGGAGGACCTTTCTGTGGGATGCAGTGGGCTACACTATCAACACCACAAGCGCAGTCACCGGTGAGCCCTGTTAGTGGAAGGTTATATCAAACATAAGGTTTTGTCCGATTTTAATTTTAAATGCACAAAGGGTGCCTATAATAAATAATACAGATAGTACAAATAACTTGTGTCATCTTTGGCACCGAGCGTATTACCAATCCGCTGCGAATGTCACACCAAAGGTGTCCTCAGAACAGCTTTAACTGAGAAGCTGCAAAAAACAAGCCAGTGTATTGTGCAAATATGGTTGCCCATGCACCTCCTCTGTCACATCACCTGTACCTCCTCTAACCACAGCTGTACCCACAGATACGGCCAAACTCTCCACAAACCCCTCCTGTGTCCTCTCCACTGACCTCTGTGCCAGCACATCCAGCCACCGTGGGTAAATCCTGCTTGCCGTGGGGTGCTCGCCCGGCCAAGCAGCCTGGAGAAGACGTGTCTCACCCAGCTTCACCGCCTACCTCCATACCTCATGGTGCTCCGCTCACCCAAGCCACAAATTAATCCCTCCTATGAGCAAAACCTCCAGGTCACCCTGCAGCAACTGCTATGAGTCAGTAATACCCCGTTTCAGAAGAAACGGTAAAAGAAAGAAATGGCCCGTGCGCATGGGTAACACGAAGGACACAACTGTGTCATCCAGCTTCACTCTGAATTCAGTCAGAATTCTGTACTGAGAGTACACCAAAAAAAAATACCAAAAGATTCCCACCCTTCCATGGATTCGCATCCATAGCTTGCAAGGAGAAAAACTTGGGTTACCCCATATCCTGGAGTAAGTTAAAGGAGAGCAGTGATTTATCTCCTCCTGATGAGGCCCCGGTCTGGGAGGAAAGCAGTAAATACACCTGGCTCAAAGCTGTTCGGTCGCAGCCTCTAGTGATATGGCAAGTAATAAGCTGATAAAAGCCAGTTTCTTCAGATACGTTCAGTCTTGTTTCAGGGTCATTGGGTAAAAGCTCATGGGGTGAAAGCTGCAAACTCGCCTCACCTCGGTTGCTAAACCAGGACTGCTCCAGCTGCAGCACCTGAGGAGCTGCCTACCTGGGGTGATGCCAATACTCCCATGTGAACCCACAGTCATCCTTGTACGCTGAACAGACCCGGCGTGGTGGAGCTCAGTGCAGCAGAACCACGTAAAGACCCATCACAGCAACTGCAGGAGGGCTGTGCCTGAAGCAGGAGTGGAAATGGCTGTGTGTGAAAGCACTGGAAGGTATAATGTAGTGCAAAGATTGCAAAAATGGCCTGTGTCGATGACGAAGGACACAACTGGCAGCAGTAAAACTGGTGAAAGCTGAGGGAAGCGCTGTTTGCATCAAAGCAGGTGGCCCCCGTGCCAACAAGGCCACAGTGCAGATGACTCAGCGGCAGAAGACTTGTGCTCTGATTGTAGAAGGATGGAGCAAGGTTGCATCGCCTGCACCTGCCAGGTCCCTCCCTTTAACGGATTGTAACCCTTTAAATTACCATTTCAGGTGAGATCTGAGCCACAGATTGTGAGCTGACACCACGCAGACCCCCCAGAAAAGATGGGGTGTCGATCAAGCCCCTTTCCTTTCTCCTCCTGTGCTGAGAGCTGAAGCATTCTGTGATCAGACCACCACAGCCAGAGACTGAATGAACAAAACTGTCCTCAAACGGAGCCAACCCTGGGGTGTGACCCACCAGAAACTCCTTTACTTCTTATGACCATGGAAAATGTACCCACAGGAACTATTTTGCAGGACGCTGGAAATACACAGGCATCCCACCATTGGGAACAGGGGCAAATTACAAGCGCAATTTAAAATTCCCTGTTAAAGTTTGCAAAGGACAAGGGATTTAAAGTTAAAGAAGGGCTTAGTAGCACCAATCTGGATTCAGTGCCTAAGTTTGATGTGCAGGACCATGAAGAGCATAAGCCAACTAGGTGGGAGGACAACCTTTCACTGTCATCATCACCTTGCCAAAGCAGCCGGGAGAGCATCTGCTGGACCAGGCAGCTCATGCATCCTCAGCACCAGGAGCCATCAGCAGTGCTGGAAGCATCTCCCAGCCTCGTCCCTCCTTCACGCACCTTCACGAGTCCCTCCCGCTTATTGACAGCACTACGTCTGCCTGGAAAGGGTTTGCACGGAGACCCACTAGTTTTGGGGCCAAAAAAAAAAATAATCTTGTGATATTGATTTGAAAATTTAAAAAAATAATAATTTTAAAATAAATAAACATAAATAAATACAGGATAATTTTAAAAAAATAAAGCTTACTGCCTCTTCTCATTGAACAGTATGAATGGAGCTCAGGAAAGTGGGGAGCTCATGGGCCAGCCTGAGCCCTCCGGGTTACCCCATATCTCTCAGCTGATCTGGGTGGGTAAACAGGGATTTCAGAATATGGCAGATTGGTTTAGACACCATACTGCCTGGCAAAAAAAGCATATGGAAAACAAAAAAGCATCAGGCCAAACTTCAGCCTAACCCAATTATTATTTTGTGGGCTCAAAAGCAGAAGCGATTCAAAATGCCATTTCTGTTTTCAAACTTAGAGTTCCTTTTAAAAACCAGGACTTTTCAGAGGTAAAGTCTCCCAGGAAGAAAAATATTTTCTGAAGAAAAAAATCGGCAACTTGTTGAACCCCACATTCTAATCTGAATGATGATACTACTCCCTTCCTTTGCAACTAATGCTTATCAATACTTAAAGGGAGGGTGCCAGGGGGATGGGAACCGTCTTTTTTTCAGTGGTGCCCACTGATAGGATAAGAGGTAACGGGCACAAACTTGAACATAGGAAGTTCCATCTTAACATGAGGAGGAACTTCTTTACTTTGAGGGTGGCAGAGCACTGGCACAGGCTGCCCAGAGAGGTGGTGGAGTCTCCCACTCTGGAGACATTCAAAACCCGCCTGGACACCATCCTGTGCAACCTGCTGTAGGTGACCCTGCTCTGGCAGGGGGTTGGACTAGATGATCTCCAGAGGCCCCTTCCAACCCTGACCATTCTGTGATTCTGTGAATTTCGCCAAAAGAACAACCCTGAACTTATAATGCGAAAGATATATTTTGAAAACACATTTCAGCTTATGCGTAAAGGCAATCCTTTTCAAACGGCAGCCCAGTCAGCACGCAGTCTTAGCAGGTGCTCTCATTTGTGTACATAAGGATCAGGAGTCTAGAAAGCAAAATGAAAATAAGATTTCTCAGTAAATGTGCTTTTCCATGTGCTTTCCCATCTCTATTTCCTGCCCTTCGGCAATGTTGGCTTTCTACCTGTGCCAGGAAAACTGAATCCCAGTTCGACTTATTTTTGCTTTTGAGTCAATCCGATTTATTTCGGCATAAGCCAGCTCCTCTGAAAGAAGCAGGAGCGTTGGCACAACGGTACGGCAGCCGCTGTGCAGGGGATGCTCAGTGGCGATGGATGGACAACTCCCGCACGCTCCGGCTGTCTGTCCCCTCTTCGGACGCGAGGTGCAGCTCTTGAGTTGAAATCAGAAATCTCCTGCAACGGAGAGAGAGACAGTATGCTTATTCAAATGTAAACTGTTACAAACCCATGAGATACCGCAAGCGCTTGTGAGGGCGGTATTGGGATTCAGAAATGTCTTGATAAATTAAAAAAATGCTGAAGTGAATGGGATGCGAGTCCGTAAGCACAGGCACGAAGCACAAGAACGAGCACAGCCGTTGCACTACACTGAGAGGGGAAATGACTGATAGGCAGCAATCTCTCCAAAAGGTATTTTGTAGATATAGAGGCTCACAAAGGTGACGCGAATCAATAATATCCTGCTGTTGTAATCAAAGCAACCCCCAT